GGGCTCCATCCCCAGCAGGGGGAGTGCAGGAGGCAGCCAATCTGACTCTCATCATTGATGTTTTTCTCTCTCTCTCTCTCTCTCCCTCTCCCTTCCTCTCTCTGAAATCAATAAAATGTATATATATTTTAAAAAGTATTGAGCGTTTATAGTATACTGTAGTAGGCATGAGCTTATGATGTAGACAGCTATTCAGCAGAACTTCCTTCGGTGATGGAAATGCTCTATGTCTGCATTCTGTGGTAATATTAGCTACTAGGCATGTATTGAGCTCCTGAAATGTGACTTATGTGACAGAGGAACAGAAATTTTTTATTTTATTTAAATAGCCACACTGGGTGAATTGCTTAACACCTCTATAAAATAGAAGTAATACATACCTTTTAGAAGAGTTATGAGTCACTTAGCAAAGTGCCTGGCATAGAGGAAGAACTCAACTATACATATTAGGTATTGTTCTCACCTTTATTAGGTATTGTGTAAGCAGCATGGAAGGGAATACGGGCCGGCGGGGGGGATTCCCATGCTTAAGATGTTTAATTGCATTTCGTATGGGCCTTTCCAAAAAGTTTCAACTTCAAGGAACATAGGTGGGGAAGCTGGGGTGCTCGTTGAGGCAGAAATGCTGGTTTTGTGTTTTTAATTTATCAATAAGCAGAGTCTGTTTCATATCTGCACACTAGACATTTCAAAGCTTTTAAGTAAAAAAAGCTAGGTTCTACTCTAAAAACTGTAATATTAATTATTAAATTCTATTTTAGTCATCTAAGGTATATTTTGATAGTGGTTACAAAAAAAAGTAAACATAAAAGTTTTAAATGTTTTACGCCCTGTCCTTAATGCTTTATGTATATTATCTCAGTTCTCAAACATAACCCTTTATAAGCCCATAAGCCATTATCTGAAACCTCCGAGACCAGATATGTTTCAGAATTCTTAGTTTTCCAGATTTTAGAAAGCCAATTTAGGGCATGTAACTACCACACAAGTGTTAGTGTTCCAGTAACAAAACCTAGACATTTACATTAAATGGATAAATGGGGACTCGCATCAAGTCAGATCATATTTTCCTATAAATGGATTGTGAGATTACATTTTGACATCAAAGAAATTATGGCTATTTTCAATTTTAAAAGATTTCTGAAATGTGACATTTTAGATAATTCTGTCAGCTTGTATGTATTTTACGTATTTGTGCAGCTGTTATTAGTGGAACCCCAGGTTTGTCTGGTTCTAAGTCTCATTCTTTCCTTCTCCACATAAAAGGGCTGGTCTTGATGAGCGCTTGCCGAGCTTGCCTTTAATGTTACTCTCTTATGCCGGGCATGATTTTTATGACTACTCTCTGAACCCTTGCTTCATTTCTTGTTTACTGCCATACTCTCTGTAATTTACACAGTTGTAGGTACTCAGTATTTGTTGGCTACTATATTGGCTCAACCCATAGATACTTTGAAAGCTCTGTTTTTCACAACACCTCACAAGTCATGGGGTTTTCTAGCACAGTAGGGTGAAAGGCAGGACGGGCATCATTTGTTGTATAAGTTGCTTTCTATTTGTTTTTATGATATAGTACAGTCATTAAAATAGGTATACGTGAAAACTATAACATTGTGCATGGGGGGAGTGATTATCTGTGGGGTCAGTAGTGTATGATGTTTTATGTGGATATATGGACGTTGACTATTACTTCATGTACTTCATTTTCTTGCTAGATTCACTGCAAAAACATTTTTCTTTGCTGGCGCTCCCTACTTTTGTGTAGTGGAAAGACCATCCTTGTAGGAATTGGGAGAATTGGGCCTATTTCTAGTTCCAGTATTGCTGGTACTATGTGTTACATTGGGAAGTCACAGCTTGGTTTGGGGTCGTAATATCCAGGTTTCAGAAGTTTATTTAAAAGGGTGAAAGTTGAGCTGAGTAAACCTTCAAGGCAGCAGAGTTTTCACGGGCACTGATTGTCTTTTTTTTTTTGAGCCCTTATCCTACTCTTTAGGCTTCTTGTCCTGGCAAGCACTGTCTCCGAGTATAACAAAGATGTCCCATCTGTGGCACCTTCCTTCTCTGCATGGCTCCATTGCTCAGAATTAGTGCTCCTTGCACTCTGAATTCCCATTCCATTAGTTTTGTGGCTGTCAGCTGAGTTAGGCACCAGGAAAGTATCAGTTGGAAATTTCTGATGTTATAGGGAAGAGATTTGGAGCAATGTAATGTAGCCTTCAAATACCTCTCCATGCCTTCCACTGAGGATTTCCCCTCCCTACTGAAGTTTAGATAAACCTCAGAGCACAGCTTTGCCCTCCCAAGATTTCCCTGGCTTGTCTTTACTTCCCTTCTCCTTGGCTTCTCCCATGGAAGTCCTCTGTACAACCCTTTAACTTTTCCTGAGGCCTACCTCTGTCCTGTTGTTCGTTCACTCAGAGGTTGGTATTTAACAGATTTCTTGTCTGTGCCTCTGTCTTTGATGAGGTTTTGTCCTTTTGAACCCAGCCATGGTAAATACACCTCTGGACTCCCTTGCTCTGCATAGAATCCACTAAGCCAGAAAACGGGATAAGGTCCATTATTGTAAGAGAATACCCCCTTCCTTTCTCAGTTTGATATTTGATATTCACTGTATTCTGGTATCACTATGCATCTCAAATGTTTTTAAGGTACATGGGCCCCGGGCAGGGATCAGAGTATTGCTCTACTTGCAGATGAGGCAGCTGACAGTGTAAAGGTATGTCAGTAGGGGACTTTGAACTTCCTTAGCCAGGGTACTGGACAGGAGAGTGGTAGCTAGCACAGTGTCATGAACACAGCTGATAAATGGTCACTTCTAGTGGGTGAGGACTGGAGGTAATAAAGATGGAACTAACAGACTGAACTGAACCTGAGCAGTATCACTGGAGAACTGGTCATAGATGAAGGTTTTTGGACTGATTCACACTAAGGTTTTACTGATTATAATTCCCCACTTAGAGAATAAAGCCTTTTGACCCTACATATTTTACCTGTTTGTTTGCTGTTCTCACAGTGAGTTTGGGTGCAGATAACAGGAGGGTGCAACCTGGGGCTGTGATCTCCAGAACTGGACAAGAGGCCTAAGATAGTGTAGAAAGAGATGTTTATAATTTAAAGTGAGATTGGGAGTCTCAGGAAAGAAATCACTCTTAGATTCCTCTTTTATGACTTAGGACAGAAGCAGCAGGATTTCATTTTATCAGCATTCCCCTCCATGAGATTCTGTAATTAAACCCATTTGGGGTTGGTTCTGTATTTATTGTTTGTTACTCATAACATTTACTAATGCAGCAGGATCACTGACTTACAACTTTGATAACATTAAATATTTATCTATAAAATGTTTATAACATTAAATAGCACTGTATTTAATTCATCTGGTTTATTTTTTAATGTATGCTGTTTCACATTTAGACTACAGCTTAACTGTTGCTTTGCAGTTCACAACTTTTATTAACATTTTATTAAAATTTTTCATTAGGTAGAACTGTATGGATATCTGGGATGTAAAGGAAGGCTGGAATCTTGTTTAAAAATACTCTTTTTATGTGCTAATGTGCTTCACCAACCTCACCAGCCAGAAGGGGTTATTTTGTAGCAATGAGAATTCCGTCTTTGCTGCCATGGCTGTCCCAGGACTACCAGTCAACTATGTTCCTGGTATTCTGGAAGCCCAGGTGAACTCCCAGGAGTTCCTCTCTGTTCTTCCCCCACTTCCTCTGTTAGTCACTCCTTGGCATGCCCCTGGTTCCCAGGGCCTCCTCACCAATGCTGCTTGTTCCAGCAAACTGATACCTGTGCCAAGAGTCTCCTGGAACTTCTGAGCATGAATCTTTAAGCTGCCAAAGACATGGTGCCATGTTCTTAGAAGAAATGTTTTTGGAAGAATGCTTACTCTCTCACCCCAGAAATCTGTGCTTGTGCTTCCATCTTGCAGACCTATTAAAAGTTTCTTCTTGCACCTATCTTTTTCCAAAGAGCCAAATAGGAATATATGAAACCATTGTTTGATTTATACTTTTCCTCGTGGAGATTTTTCTTCTGATGCCTGGCAGAATGAATATCTTCCCTTCTCACTTTAGGACTAAAAGCAAGCCAGACAAATCTCATGCAAGACAACCCACAGCTTCATGAGACATAGGCAGAAATTTCTGAGTCCCACCTTAGGTTCACTGTAGGACCCTGGGTGGGTTTACTTAGATACTAACGTGATCATCATCAGTAGATTGTAAGGATTGCCATGAAGGCAGCTGTCATGCTGCTCCGGCTCACGTCCATTCACCTGCTCTCCAGTCAGCAGATCCTAGAAGCCAGCCGGGCTATGGCCTTGGAGCAGAGCCGAGCCCTGGATGTGTGGTGTTGACCAGACTTTTACCCCTCTGTTGTAACTATCCGAGTGTGGCTTAACCTTACTCATATATCTCATATGAAAAGGATAACTGCGTAACTAGCAACCACTTTCCAGAGTGAAAAGGGACACCATTAATATTTATGTCAGGGCATTTAGAATAATGCATTATCCTAAATATGGATGAGCTGTAACATAAACTTTAAAAACCTTATTTTTTACTGTGTTTGCCTAGTTATTTCTAAAACCATATGTTTTATTTACTACTGTTTTTATATCTTTTAAAAATCTTCATTCTTGCCCAGCCGGGCGTGGCTAAGTGGTTGAGCGTCGACCTAGGATCCAGGCGATCGGGGTTCGATTCCCGGTCAGGGCACATGCCTGGGTTGTGGGCTCGATCAATGACTCTCTCATCATTGATGTTTCTATCTCTCTCTCTCTCCCTCTCCTTTCCTCTCTCTCGGAAATCAATAAAGATATGTTTTTTAAAAAATCTTCATTCTTGCCTACCAGCTTCTTTCTTAGAACAGCTGCTTTATGGATTTATCCTGTCTGATTAGTTTTCATTTCTAATTATAACTTACAACATGATTTATTTTCTTATTCCTGCCAACTAGAAATGTTCTTATTTTTATTTTCAATGCAGATGCAGAGTTTGCAGGGTGGTTCAGAAGCCATAGCCCGATTGGATCAGTTAGAAGCTGATTATTATGACCTGCAACTTCAGTTGTATGAAGTACAATTTGAAATCTTGAAGTGTGAAGAGTTGCTATTGACAGCACAGCTAGAAAGCATCAAAAGACTGATATCGGGTATGGTGTACATTTAACCACATAAGTCTGCAAAAGATTGAATACTTTACAAGAGAGAGTGGCTTTGCCTGAGGTTACAGAGCCAGTAAGTGGATGAGAGCCCTGTTCTGCCTCTGCAGGCATGCTCTTAACCATTACTTTTTGTTGCTGTTCTGTAACAGAAAAGAGAGATGAAGTGGTGTACTATGACACTTATGAAAGCATGGAGGCCATGCTGGAGAAGGAAGAGATGGCAGCCTCGGTGCATTTACAGAGAGAAGAGCTGCAGAAACTCCAGCAGAAAGCACGCCAGCTGGAAGCAAGACGTGGACGGGTTTCAGCCAAGAAAGCCTACCTCAGAAATAAAAAGGTATAGTAGGTTACGGACTTACCAAATGTATCCTTAATCTTAAATTTTGTATTTATTCATTGATCCATAACTAGTCCTTGATCCATAACTAAAAACTCTAACCTAGTTTGTCACTGATACTTGCATGTCTTTTAAAATGACGTAAGTTATGGGGTGCTGCTTCAGAATCCTGCTGGAGTTCCTTGGTGTAATATATGATATATGTACTTATCACCTTTTTAGTAGCAGAAAAAAATTTAGTTTCAAAACACATCTGACCTCTGATCTGGATAAGACATTGTGGACCTGTATTCGCTTTTATGGGGCAAGTAGGATTCTGTCTTATGTCTTTGTGACGCGGAAGCCTGAGTCGTCATATACTCTATCATGTCACTGTATCACACTGCCTTTGTCTTCCCTGGAAGGCTGCCCTGGACAGGTTCATCTCATGATCAGTACTTTTTAGGCAAGAGACTTAAGCCAGTGTAGGTGAAGAATAAACAGTTGCTTTAAAAAATAGTTTACTGGCTTAAAAAGTCACTCCTTAAGATGCCTTTCTCTGGTTAGAAGAGTAATCTTTTGGTATAGCTTTGAGAGTGTTGGAAACTAATGTAAACCCTTTTATGTGGAGGACTCTTTCAGAAGGACTCAGGGAAAATGAAGACACAGTGTGGTGGCACTAAAACATTGCCAGCTGATAGTGCGTTATTTTGTAAAGAAGCCCATATCCCATTTTATTACTATGTTTTATTTTCATGTGATTAGAAAAAGCATACCTACATTTTCTTTATAATTCCGACTTTCTAGTTTTTAAGGTCTCTTTTAGTTCTGAAGTCTGGCCAGAAGTTTCAGATTTCATGATATAGTTTAAACCAGTCCTGGCAAAATCATGTTCTTTAACTCATCAGAGAGAGCTTAAGAGTTTAGGCCAAGAGTTATATATCCTTTTTGCCTAGACAGTTTAAAGAGTACAATAAAACTTAGAATATTCTGGCCACAGACTTCAGAGCTGAAAGAGACCTTTGAGATTACATAAGGATGTCCGCTTCTTCCACCCTACCTTGCTTCATCCCTTCCCTTCAGGGAAATCAGGAATGCTAGAGAAGTGTAATAGTTTGATAATAGTTTAAGATCCTGATGATTTGGCTTATGCTGCTTCAGTATCACAAGTAAGAAACTTGAGGTGGTTTACTTGGTATTTTGCTATGTTAGGTATATGGTAAGATTAAAATTTGACTTATCAGGTAAACCCTGGTATGGTGTTTAGAATCTTTTAAACTCTACTTATATTAAAACACATTTTATGTATTTATAGGAAATTTGTATTGCAAAACACAATGAAAAATTCCAACAGCGCCTTCAGAGTGAAGAGGACTTTAGAACCCATCACACAGTCCAACTAGTAAGTTTGTGTTCATGGAGACTTAGAATAGGACTTTGGCTTTTAGCCCTGGCCAGTGGGCTCAATGGTTAGAGCGTCAGCCTGCACACCGAAGTGTTGTGGGTTCGATTCCAGGTCAAGGGCGCATACCTCAGTTGCGAGTTCGCTTCCTGCCCCTGGTCAGGGCGTGTTTGGTAGGCAGTCAGTCGATGTGTCTCTCTCACATCGATGTTTATCAGAATCTCTTGGGAGGTAGATTGTTTAAAATGTAGATCCCTAGATTTTAGCCTTATTGTTTCATATAAGTAAGACTAAGGAAGTTTAATATTTGATAGTAAGCTCTAAGACAAAATAGTTTAAAATGTAAAATTACTTATTAACTTTTGTTTTAAGCTCAGAGACAAACTGGGTAAGGGAAGGAAATGGTGGTCAGGAAACAAGTCAATTCTTCCCAGGAAAAATGCATTCTTGTTTTATGTAACCATACTCATAACTTGAGTTTCACTTCAAGAGAGTACACATGGAATGCTTTTAAGCTGTTGTTTATGGAAATTGATCAGAACCTTTTCAAATATTTTGCTCATGATGGCTTTTTTTTAATACCACCTACTTCCTCTGTGCTCTGATATGTGCCCTGGCCAATCATTGTCTGTTCTTGTTCTTTTAAGGTCCACTATTTGAGTTAGCAGAATTATACATATTTCATACTAAAATTGTTTAATCCAGAGCCACAAAGATGAAACATTTTTAGTTCAGAGATTTTATTCTATTTTACAGAGTAAACATCTTTAATTGGAAGTAAATGCAAAAAATAAAACAATATTTTTGTCATTGGGAATTATAAAATGGTAATTTCTATTAAAAACTGATGGTGCTACATGCCATAAAACATTTTGTTTAATGTGTAGTTCTTTGGAGTTACCCAGCTTACATACTGGGAGAACTCTCTTTTCCTATTAATAATAAAAAGAAGTGGGAAGCATCGTAATTGAATTATATTAATTTTTTACCAGAAGAGAGAAAAATTACACGATGAAGAAGAAAGAAAAAGTGCTTGGGTTAGCCAAGAAAGACAGCGAACGCTGGATAGACTTCGAACTTTTAAACAGGTAATAAAAGTATGGTCATTGTATTGTTTTTCATTGCTACATACACACTGCTATTATAAGATTTCTTTGTATGAGAAAAACTTGGTTTTCCCTTTGTTGTTTAGAAAATAATTCATGTTTTGATTGCATGGCTACCTTCCCTCCAGTTGTTTCCAGAATTAATATTCTTGTGACCCTTGTCTACCACTTGAGTGTAGTAGAAGAGGAATGGCCAAGGCCTCTGGGAAGCCTGGATTCCTCTTTGAGTTTTATAAAATTAATTAGTTTATAGCCGACTCTCCATTTCAAGCATTAACTTGTTATTGATTCCACATATATCAACCTATGGTAATAATCTATGGAAATGACCTGAAGAATTAAAGGGCGGATCAGCATACACCAGAAATCCTTCATCAGTTGTCTTACCAGGCTAACCCATGACTCTAGACACTGATACCACAGGAGCTAAGTATGTCCTTTGAACTGTGCTTAAGCTGAATGGTTTTAGTTCAAGTGTTCAGGAGCCTTCCTTCGGCTCTCTTTGGCGAGGGATCATCTTACAGGCAAAGGAAACTTTTGATAAAATCCTCTTAGTATTACAGTGAAAAGGGGTAAACCTTGAGTTAAGTAAATGCATTAATGCTATTTAAGTACATGTAAGAAACTAATAATCCTTAGCCTTCTGCATATATATATATGTGTGTGTCTGTTTGACACCATTTATATTGTATAATTTACATTGCTGCTATTATTTTTTCATATAAATTCATAACTTTCTTCAGTAAAGACCTTTTTAAAATCATGTGGTAATTTTGAATAGTTGCCTAAGTCAATAAGAGGATACAAGGCCTTGATAAAGGATTTGATGATAAGCAGATGATAGAATTTGGTGATGACTGTTTGAAAGGTATCACACTTTGGTATCTGGTTTTCTGTATAACTATCACCAAAATTTCCCTGAAAATTCCAAAGATTTCCAAAATAACATCTTTCATTTGAGGGAGAAAATTGATAGCCATTAGTTCATAATTTGTTTTAATATAATCTAACCAGTTACAATAACGTCTGATTTTTTAGAGGTACCCTGGCCAAGTTATACTTAAATCAACCAGATTGCGACTGGCTCATGCAAGGAGGAGGAGTGCCACCAGTCCTGTGCCCTGTGAGGATCAGTGTGACTCTGTACCAGGAGCACTGCAGGTAGAGAAACGTGAAGAGGTGCAGGAAGGAAGTGGCAAGCTTGGGTCATCACAGATGGCAGAAGCCCAGAGCTTCGCACAACTTGAAGATACTTCATCAGTACAACTTGAAGCCACTTCATTACCTCTTGGTGTTACCTCGGAACTGCCTCCCACTGTTTCTCTTTCACTTTTGAATAATGTTGACCTTGAACCAGGTTCTGTTACCACCGATCCGCTCCCA